TTAAATCCTCCTCACCTCTCTTCTCGCTGTGTGCGGACCTCACCTGCGTTGCGGGGCAGGTGCTGGGGTTCTCATGGTAGTCATTTACACAAGGGAAGCCATTGACAAACACAGGCACTTTTTCTTCTCTGCAGGCCGTGTTGTTTCAGTGGCCGACTCTCTTCACAGTCGACTGCTAGCCCCGTCTTGCGTGCTATAGGGCCTCTGTCTACCAGGCTGTCTAGTGGTGAAGGTGTCTTTCTCTGGCTGTCTAAATGGCTGATCTGGGAAAATGTCTATCTGTTTGGAAAGTGGCTATGTCTGTTTAGTTGCAGAGGAAGTGTCTGTTTATCTTGTGGGTGGATGGCTTGATGACTGTTTCATCTCTGTATTAATAGTGTGATTGTCGGCTTCTTTATGTCTTTATGAAGTAAAGCGACAAATTCATATTTCTTTATCTGGGATGTAAGTGTTACGATAACACTGTATATTTGTAAACAATTTTGTCTGACAAATAACCACTCTTGGTTACATTTCCCTTGAACATTTCTGTGTCTCTGCACAGGGAGAGTCTTTCAATGGAATGTATCGTTTTCAGTTTTATTTGTGTAAATAGAGGGCAAGTGTTAGGAAGGAGGGATGAAGAAAGGAAAGGAGGGAGTGAAGCAAGTATAGAGGTAGGAAGAGAGGGAAGAAAGGAGGAAGAGAGTGGAATAGAGGGGAGGGGTAACAGGCAACTTTAAGGTGATTCCTACGTGTTAATGAAGTGGCTGCTTGCCTGTTTAGCGAGATGGTCAGGCTATCTGATATTTCTTATATCTGTCTCGTTGTTTACGTGTCTATACAGCTGTATTTTGCCCCAAACGCTCTGTCTGTGAGTGGCTTTACACAAATGTACTAAGTCTTCATAATATGTGCCTTCACAACCCCATTGAATATATGAAAAATAAGTGGACGTATGTGTGGTTTCTCTAGCCGTCTGTCTTTGTCTTTCCTTCTGTATGAGATTTTAGGTGTATCTCTTCATGTATGTTTATCTTAAGGATGTGTGTAATGCAGTTTGTGTGTCTTGAGAAAATCCAGTTCTGGGTTTTGGTGCAGTAATCACATGGAATGGTATTCTGCTTCACACTTTTTATGGGGATTGGCTGTGAAAAATATCTGACCATCTCTCTCTCTCTCTCTCTCTATCTCTCTCTCTCTCTCTCTCTCTCTCTCTCTCTCTCTCTCTCTCTCTCTCTCTCTCTCTCTCTCTCTCTCTCTCTCTCTCTCTCTCTCTTTCAATTTATCATGTCCACCCTCTCAACATTTCTGGCAGATGTCGTGATCTTAGGGTTTTTGTGTATGATGGTGAGGATGGAGGGTGACTGAGGACCTTCTTGCTGCGTTCATAAGTTCACCCGACACTCCTACTGCCATCTAGTGACCAATTTCCAAACATTTGCTTCATGATCCATTGATTAAAAGGGTAAACACAAGTCCAATATGAAACTTTCTGTGTTTTAAAACATACTTTCTTTGTGTATTTATTGCTACCCGTTCTCTTACTGAATGGACTATTTTTATATGCTAGAAATAATTCAACAATTTATGAAATGTAAATTCGCTGGAAGTGTGTGCGTTTTTTCTGGACTAATTAAATCATTGTCGATAGGATAGTAAAGTTGGTGCAGGTTCGTACACTTTGGTACGCTTTCGATAAAAACATGTACATTGTACGCTTGTCTTATCATGCGAACGGACTGATTTATTGCTATTAAACTCTTATGTGATATATAAATATAAGATCATATTATGACTGTCTGTCTGTCTCTTTCTCTCTCTCAGTTTATCTGTTTAAATGTCTGCATTTCACTGTATGTCTGGCTCTCTGTGTTTCTGTGTCTGTCAGCACTGGCAAATTTTGGGTGTATTATGAGAATATCGTCAACAACCCGAAAGTTAATAAAGTGATTGTAGAGCTCAGGATTCCGCATCAGGGCAGGTCTGAAGAGTCCAATGACTAGGCATTCAATAACCAAGTGTGTGAGATGATGGCCCAGTTGATGGCCCAGCCTGATCCTGGTAACCATTGTGTCACCCTGTCTGGAGGACGTTTTGTGCTGCCCTTATAAATAGATTTCGGATCAAAACCAATCATAGGTTTTTTATATAGTTGTTTTCAGGGGTTTAGGAGTCAGTAATTTCTCTCCTATCATGCATGAGTGTTTGGGATAATACAGTCTTTACAACGATGGGGGATATATGGGTCTGGTTCAACTTTATCCTGGTTACGTGTTAATTTGGCTACAATGTCTGTTTCATTATGATGGGTTATATTTATGTGAGATGGTATCCACACAAAACGGATTCTAAACTTTGTATTCTTTGCAGCTAGCAGATTATTTATAATTGCTGTTAAGAAGTTCTTGCTAAAGTTTTGAAATACCTGAAGAGCAACCTTTGATTCACATAAAATTATACCCCGTTCCTGCGCATTTTAGTACACTGGTAGCTAGTTGTGGTGCACCTAGTTCTGTCTGTGTAGAGTTCAGCTAGTTGTTTAACCAGACATTGATAGTCTGTGTGCAAGTACTATTTCTACAAAATCTACAGGTTGCCGCAGTTCGTCCAGTTGACGATTGGGCTGAACCATAGGTGCATTACGAAACATTGTAACTGCTAAAATCTATGGGAACCGCAACAAATATTTCAAACTTCATGAAAATTGCTTGGAGGGATCTCTATAAATGCTGATATTTCTTAAAAGATTTCACTTTGGCCAACACCGACTGGCCTATGGCACTCCCCTGCCCAACAAAAATCATGCTGGAAAGTTGTATGAGGCTAGCCCCAGGCGTCTGGTCTCCAGCCTGGAACAGACAAACAATCAGACAGATATTCTGTTTTATAGATATAGATATTTATGTTCTTTTAAAAAGCAATTTGTCCTGCTATGATCTCTTCATAATTGAGTTATCCCACTAACACCCCTTTTCAAACACATGCAAAATTCATGCAAATAAATGCCACGTTAAGTGAGCACTTTGTAACGTTCGTGGGAGCCGGAGAAACCAGATTCTCTCCGGTGTAGGCCACAGTTATCCTTCTGCAACGGGAACAACAGGAACAAAAGTTTAAGAGTCGGAGAAACGATGACAGCTCGTATCAACAATGGGATTATCAAGAATACCAGTAATAGCGACACTACTAGTAATGACAACGACAACAGCCGTTCCTAAATCATCGGGAGTACCATCCTCAGCAATACTAACAGTAGCAGTGTTATGGAGGAGAAATCGGAACAGCCACATCTGATACAGCAGCAACAGCAGTGACATAAACAACCGTGTCTCATATAAACATCAGATCCACCGACAGCTGTAAGAGCAACAACAGAAGGATCAATAATGCCACAGCAATTTAGCAACGGTAACACCACCATCAGGAGTCACAGTACCAGTAGCAGCACCACCACTACCACCAGAAGACCACAGCAGCACCACCACTACCACCAGAAGACCACAGCAGCAGCACCACCACTACCACCAGAAGACCACAGCAGCACCACCACTACCACCAGAAGACCACAGCAGCAGCACCACCACTACCACCAGAAGACCACAGCACCACCACCACTACCACCAGAAGACCACAGCAGCAGCACCACCACTACCACCAGAAGACCACAGCAGCAGCACCACCACTACCACCAGAAGACCACAGCAGCAGCACCACCACTACCACCAGAAGACCACAGCAGCACCACCACCACTACCACCAGAAGACCACAGCAGCAGCACCACCACTACCACCAGAAGACCACAACAGCACCACCACCACTACCACCAGAAGACCACAGCAGCAGCACCACTACCACCAGAAGACCACAGCAGCAGCACCACCACTACCACCAGAAGACCACAACAGCACCACCACTACCACCAGAAGACCACAGCAGCACCACCACCACTACCACCAGAAGACCACAGCAGCTCGTAACCTCCTCAGAGGATATGAATATAAATAATATATTCGATAAGATTCCATGCTACTGTCGCGTCGAAGTCTCCGTTCTGTGAGCACATCATTCGCTCTCAGCTGGACGATCTGCTTCCTCGTCTTCGCCCTGAGAGCCACATTATTCTCTCTCAGCTCTCAGATATTGAGCATCCTCACAACGTCCCTCTGTACCTGATTGTTCGATACTTGCTTGTGTTCTACTATTAAACATTTCATGCATGAGGGCTTTGCTTTTAATAATAATAGTTATTTCGGAAAACCTGTTCCCAAGTCCTCCTTTAGCTGGAGACATCAGGTGTGAAGGGCACCAGGTGTTAGGAACACTAAATGAGGAAAGAAAGTTCAGGTGTTCATGTCTCCATGTGTTAAGGACTTTAGGTATTAGGGACGCAGGTGTTAGGGACATTTTAGATTGCATCTCTGATACATCACCTTCTTCAGTCTTCGGCCTATCCACTTTCTTGATTCGGTTGACTCCTTTAGCTGTTTTTGCTGTTCCTACGCCCGCATATTTTCAATAATATGAGCACTTGACCGTCGCCATGCAGCAGCGTCGCCATGCAGCAGCGTCGCCATGCAGCTGCGTCGCCATGCAGCAACGTTGCTAACATGCAGCGTCGTCATGCAGCAACGTTGCTAACATGCAGCGTCGTCATGCAGCAACGTTGCTAACATGCAGCGTCGTCATGCAGCAACGTTGCTAACATGCAGCGTCGCCATGCAGCAACGTTGCTAAAATGCAGTGTCGTCATGCAGCAGTATTGTCATTTACACATCCTTGCACTCCTGTCTTGCTAGAGCCGAGATTCCTGAATTAGTTAACTTTTTCCATTTTAGTCTGTCATAATATTTTAAGTTACTCGTCTTATTATCTCCCTATTCTCTTCCAATAATTAATGTGTTTCGTATTGTTCCTCTTCACTGTCTGTTTAATGTCCCTTTTTTTCTCTCCTTTTCGTGAACCTGTTATCCAATATTAATTTTTCTTTTTAATGAATATATTTTTAAGTTTGACATACACGTCTCTGCATGACTGCATTTCTTCTGTTATTTTCTTTGGTTTATCTTGTTTAATTTCTTCCATATCTTTTCTCTTATTTTCGTCATTTTGTCTTTCATTTCTTGTACCTTTCATCCTATTTTCAAACTTCTCCATTTTCCTCTTTCAGTATCTTTCATCGGGTATGTCTACCATCTCATTTTTTGTCCCGCTCCTCCTTTTCTGTTCTTCAAACCATTGTTTCCGTCCCTCTCTACATCCCTTCCTCTCCCCATCCCTTCCTCTTCTCGGCACCAGCTCTGGCAGCGTCAGGACCCACACGAAGGGGCAGCAGAAGTGGTCTTGCCAGAGGCACCCTCTCGGAAACTCCCCCATCTGCTCTTTTCCTCAGCTAACGCCAGTCCCGCCCATGGGTCCCAGTAGCGTGATGCTCATCTGCTATGGAAGGGGAGGAAGAGGGGGGGGGTCGTTTCATGGGATCTCCTGGGATGGGGATGAAAATTAAGTTGGATAGGATGGCTAGGGAAGGCTGAAGACATGGCGAATGATGCTAATGATTCTCTTTTAGGGATGATAATGATTGGCGATTGTGTTTGAGTACATGGTGTTGTGGTTTTCCTGGAGGCGCAGATGATTGATTTCTATGGGAGTTGGAAAGTTAGACGAGAATTAGGATGGATGATGACTGGGTTGTCTTGGGTTCGTATGGCACGTAAGGTTCTGAATCCTTGGGTTCTGAATTACTCTGGGGTGGCTAGTGTAAATTATCCTGGAGGTGGAAAAGATAGGTAAGGCTTAAAAGAGTGTTGAGGGTCTCCTGGAAGTAGAAAAGATAGGTAAGATTTAAAATGGAGAGAGCTGGAAGAGTTATAGAAGAGTGAGAGAAGAAGAGCTGAGTTGTAGAGGAAGCTGTGAATATATGGGTCAGAGAATCTGAAAATAATCGATGAGAGTATTGGTTGAAGGAATATCTTGTAGCTGTTGTTAGTGGAATTAGAATGGTATAGTCTGAGGACAGTTGGAGAAGTATTTACTCACCGCAATGGCTGTGACACTGACCGGCAAGATCTTCATCGGAATGAAGCTGAAATCTCTTAGAGTTATTAATATGTCACTCGATAACTTTGAAATGGATGTGTTTTATAATGAGGTTTACATAAAATACAGTGACAGTAAATTTGAGAATAATGTAATTTATACTGAAGTAGGAACCAGAGTGGCTCTGGGCTGACTAAATCTCTCCCATTAACAGTACAAATAATTAAAACAGACGGAATGAAAACGTGACTACTATACATAGGTTGACAACAGCATCATTTCGAATAAAGTAACTTGAAGATAGCTCTCATAAAGTAAAACTACGTGTAGTGCTGAGATACAAACTGACTGCGATTTCCTAGTCTGGATAGACGCCACAAACAAGTATAATGCGGAAAATTGGGATTATATTGATATTACTGACGTAGAGGTTAAAGTTGAGGATAACATGAATGTGTTAATGGAGAAAAACGCGGCGTCGTAGCCTTCGTAGTGAAGTTGTAGATGAAAACATCGTTGTTTTGGCTGTGAATGGACGTAACACGTTTTGGTTGCCACAGCTGTGGTAGAGATGGAGCTGAAGATAAAGTGTCTCGCTGTGAATGAAAGAATGACCCTTTAGAGAGCGCGCGTGTGAGGTTTGACGGGTAAATAATGCACAATGGCGGAGATGGATGCAGTGTTTATGTGCGTGCTTGTCTCAAGGTAAATACAAATGATGTGTGTTTTTTTTGGTGTAGCATATCATAGTTTTTTTGCTGAGGCGGATGACAGTGAAAATAATGTAGCTGGGTGGTAGCTGAAGTATCTTGATTTAATCTCACATTTCAGCATTAAGGGAAAAAATAATGCCTATCGATCATGTTTTTTAATTATTTGAAAAGGACCCCTGAGGGTACATATCACCGACACTCCGCCTCCGTTCCAAACTGTCCAGGAATCACCTGGGAGAACGTGCTTTTGTTATTATCCTCGCTATCAGAAGCTTTACGAGACTCGTTCTCACTTATTTATCTTCAAGACGCGTCATTAAAGCGTAAATTATCCGTGCCGGGTTTTTATCATGTATTTAAGCATGAAGATCTCGCCTTCGAATGGACGTTACTGCTGTGGAGAAAGGACAACAGAAACCGATGAAAAGGACTCAGAACTACATCAGCTCTGGTACCTGGAACGGTTTAGGGGCTACAGAACTAATAGCACTACAAACCAGGCCTAACAGAGATAGTCTCATGAACCACGTTTACGCCCCCATCATCACCATCTTTACACCACACTCATCACCATATTTACACACCATCACTATCCATTCACACTATCTTCATCATCCTTACACACCACTCATCATCATAATCATCCTTTTACCCTATTATCACCATCTATACATATCAATCATCACCATATATACATACATCATCTCACCATCCTTAAACACCGTCACCATCACGATAACTCCCGTGATCTCTGGCTGACATAAACCAAAACATTTTCTGTGTTTATTGGTAGTGTAAAATTAAAACCAAAAAATACGGAAAACCCTAGAACAGTAAATGTGAAAAACTCAAGATAACGAATGAACGCCAAAATTAGCATAAAAATAAGGAGAATGTGGAAGATATACAAGGAAAATTTGCCAGAGCAAATAAAATAAAAAAATCTACGAATTTAAAGGTTTATAAACAAAATGTTTAGAAAACGGGAAACTAATATCTTGCAATATTCTTCAGATATTTATCTTAGCATTATAAATGTATGAAGTCCTTATTGTTTCCTTTGTTAAGGACCTCGTAAGCAAGAACATATTTCCCAGAGGGATGAACCTTCTCAACTCAGACACATATACGCTTTATTTAATAGCGTCCTTTATCACTAAACACTTGTTGACCAGGGGCCAGATTCACGAAAGCACTTACGCAAGCACTTACGAACGTGTACATCTTTCCTCAATCTTTGACGGCTTTGGTTACATTTATTAAACAGTTTACAAGCATGAAATCTTGCCAATCAACTTTTGTTATTGTTATAAACAGCCTCCTGGTGCTTCGGAGCTCATTAACTGATTAATAATTGGAATCAAAGTCGCCAAAGATTGAGAAAAGATGTACAGGTTCGTAAGTGCTTGCGTAACTGCTTCGTGAATCTGGTCCCAGGTACACCCATGCCAAATTCCACAATAATATGCATCATCAAGGTTCATACACCTTTATAACAAATGTGATCACGCACGATTCCCTAGTTGAGGAGTGGGAAAGAGGGAGAGGGATGTGGGAGGCGAAGTTAAGGAAAGGGACATTGGGAGAGGAGATAGGGAGGAAGGTAGCAAAGGGAGGGAAGGTGGATGATGAATTAGAGTGAAGCAGAGAGTGTGAGAGGCAGATTGGGGAGTCGACGGAAAAAGGGAAGGGATTTGGAGGAAAGGGAAATGGGAGAGAGAGGAAGACGGAGAGGGAAAGGAGCAGGGAGGGGGGGGGGGAGGGACAAGAGGAGGAGGCAGCAGTGAGGTACTCGAGGACCGGAGGAAGGGAGGGTGTTGTATAGCTGGGGGAGTTTTGCCAGGGCTGGCGATCGATCATCATTATAATGTCAATAGTGATTACCAGGAACCAGCAGCGCCCTGCACTTCGGCCTAGGCGGAATGCAGATTGTGACTGTAGTCCTCTTGTGTGTTGTTGGTGCTGTGTGTGTGTGTGTGTGTTTTGTGGCGGTGTTTGGCTTCGCGGCGCTAGCTACTGCATCCTACCTACCTACCTTGAGGCTACCTTGAGGTGCTTCCGGGGCTTAGTGTCCCCGCGGCCCGGTCGTGGTGATCCCGCAATGACTTGACGATACCTTTCCACCTGGAATCTTGTGCTCCTAGTACGTCTCATTACAAGTTCTCTTTTCATTTTAGTCATTTCGTTTCGTTATCCATTGCAATCACATCAGTCTCCGTCGGTCGGTTCATGTGCATTGAGCCTGACAAATATCCATGGGTATCGTTAATCCTTCTGGTCTTGCTCGATATGTTTACATGTAATCAAGCACCTGACAGATGATACTTGATGTTAAGTCTGTTACTGCTTCACATTTTAAATATATAAATTCACGCACACACACACTCACACACACGCACACACACGCACACACACACACACACACACACACACACACACACGCACACGCACACACACATACACACACACACACACACACACACACACACACACACACACACACACACACACACACACACACACACACACACACACACTATAGCAAAAGTTAAAATGTCATTCAGAAACCTAAGTAAGGAGGCATTCAGAGTATGGCATTCCTTACACTCCCTACGTGAGTGTAAATGATATCGGCCTTTATCACTAAACACTTGTTGACCAGGTATACCCATGCCAAATTCCACAATAAGAAATTCCACAATACTCTCTTAGAGTATGCAGCCTCATCATGAAGCCCCCACCTAGAGAAACTCCTTAAGAAACATTAAAAGGTTCAGAAATTTGCGACGAGGCTAGTCCCAGAGTTGCAAGGGAGGGGAAATGAAGAGCAACTGAGGGTAATGAACCTGGCAACGATAGAAAAACGGAGGGAGCAGGGAGATATGATAGCAGCATACGAAATACTTAGGGGGGATTGCCAGAGTGGAAATAGACGAAATGTTTACACGGAATTCCAACAGAACAAGGGGACATGGGTGGAAGCTGGAAACTCAGATGAGTCATAGAGATGTTAGAAAGTTTTCTTTTGGCGTGCGAGTAATGGGGAAATGGAATGAATGAAAGGAACACGTTGTGGAAGCCAATACTATTCATAGCTTTAAAATTATGATAAAGAAGAAACAGGAGTCATTGGTTTAACCGGTACGATTTTTCTTGACTGTCTAGGAGTAGGTCGGAGGGTTTTAATATTGAAGTTGTATATATATGTTAATTTTCTGTTGGTGTGATATTGTCTTTCAATAACCCTGTGTAACTAGAAAACCACAAGTAAAACGCAAAATCAGAGGCATTGTTTCAGCTTGGGATTCGTAGACCAAAGGTTCCGAGTTCGATCCCCGGTGGAGGCGGAAACAAATGGGCAGAACTTCTTTCACCTTGATGCCCCTCTTCACCTAGCAGTAAATA